AGCAGGAATATATGCATATATTTGGCAGGTAGTTTTTTTAAACACCTTTATTGAATGAGAGTATTTGAAAATACTGCACTGAACTTCAGCTAATTAGGGTGGATGTGATTAAGAACTCATACTGAAGAAACAAGGAACTTCTGTGGCACTCAGCTGGCCCTCCTCTAGGAGCCATAGCATGAGTATTTTCTGGCAGCTGCAACCTGAAGACAGCCCTGCAAGTAGTGCTGTGGTCTGTGTTCCCTTTGACTATTGTCTCTGTCTGGCTCAGCTCTTTTTTCCAGAAAATCCTTTTTTTTTTTGCCTTCCTTTTCATGGAAGTAGGACTTGATGTAGCAGTCATGTCTACTCTGTCTCAGCCCATACACCTGACAGCCTGGCTTTACTCCACAGTTGCATGAAGTTGACAGTTAAGTAGGGGTTGATGTGATCAGCACTCCATATAATTTAAACTGAATTTTCACACTATTGTAAGTGGCAGGTAAATTAGTTTTCTTTCCCTTGAACCAGAGGAGAGCAAGGAGGCTGAGGCTTACCACATATGTATGAGAATGATACAAGTGACATCCAGATCTCCTTCAAAATAATGCAAGTGTCTAACTGGACATTTCTCAAAAGTACTTCAGAGGACCAAAATGCACATATTAATATTTAAGAAAACCTGATAGTTACACTTAGTAACTTTGGCTTTGCATTTAAAGGGAAAGAAGATAACCATTCATAAAGACAGCAGGTTCCAGTTGAAAGCAGCTATGCAACATTTCTGAATTTTTGGGAGCTTTATGTAGTGTAAGACCAGTTTTAGGACCCTGAGTAGTTTTAGGTAGGAGGTGGAAGAGTTCATCAAAAGGACTGTGTGGTATAAATTGTCTGCTGTTGATGACAGGGACATCCAGTCACACACTGCTTTGTCTAACTGTGGATTTAAGTTCTGCTCTTTGAGACTGAGATTTTAACCTTCACAAGCCATACAGAAAGTTGGTTTGTACAAATGTTTTTCAGATCATTCCTAGACCCTGAGAGAACCCCTCCCAGCCCTGAGATTAGGTAATGCCAGCAAATTAGGTTTTGCCTGAAAAATGCCTGTAACAAGCTTGCACTGTACTGTGCGTGCATCTGCCCACTGTGATGGCTGCATAAGGAGCTGTGGAAACTAAAATGGAATGCTGTGCTTATGCAGAATATCTATAATTTATAACAAGATGACATACACTGACAATGTTGTTACTCCCCAGAGTCTGATTGTTTTTCTTTGCTTATCTTCAGTACTTAACTTCATTGCAGAATTAGCTCTGTTAATACTTGCTAGGAATAACCAGATCACAGCTGAAGCTCTAATACACAGAACTCTGTTCAGACTCATTAGCAATGTGTGTTCACAGTTTTTGCTGTTGTACATAGACTTTGTCCTTGGAGCATCTGGTGATACTTCTTTCAATATGTGTGACATGTTGTTCATGACAGATATATCTGTTTCAGTCCATTCAGAAAAGAGCACCCTGAACTAGATTGAAACAAAGATGTCCAGAAGCAAAGTGGAAAGTGAAAACAAATAGAAAAAAAATTACATCTCCCCTATTTTTTTTTTTTTCCCCCAAACAAACAAACAACACAATCTTACAGCAAATGAGCTTCTGCCAATCATTCCACAGACTATTTGGTAGCTACTGGTATTTATTATTCTACTGTTGTAAGGCATAAAGCTTAATTCTTCAGCTGTATCTTCCTAATTTGTATGTGAATTGCTAGAATATCAGTTATGTTCTTGGCAAGATCTTAGCTTATGAAGTTCATATTGCACCTTCAGCTAAATCACCATTGCACCATGACTGTAAGGGATGTGTTTTGTTTTCTGCTCCCTCCTTGCCCAGAGTTGGCTCTTGTGATTTTTCTAGTGTACATAAGCCATGTTCACTAAACCCAGGAAAAAAACCCAATACTCCCTTGGATTAGTGTTTTTGCTTGGTTAGTTTTGATAACACACAAGTGCTGGTAGCTTCCTGGAAGGTAGAGGAGCAGGAGAGGAGTGCAGAAATGAGACCTGCTTTTGGCTGTGGTAGTCAACTCACCCGTGAAGGGAAACCACATTCTGTGTCTCTAAGCAATTATTAATATTTTTTTTTAACTGGGATTTTGGAAAAGAAGCAGAAGACCCAGATTACTTTGAACTGGTAGGGATTTGAAGTGTGTCCAGCAATTCATTCTTAGCGTGGCTGGAGGAATATTAAGTGTTACAAGTTGCTGCTTGTGCTTTTTTACTGGTGTAACACAGGGTAAAGAACTAGTTCTTTGTTCATGCTTGAACTAACAAGTTGCTCCATCAGCAGATGAACTAACGAGGAATAGTTTTGTTGTGGATCTGTCCAGTGCCCTGTGAAGCCCCAGGCCCTGCATTTGCAAGTGGAGCTGTGGCTGGTTTTGGGCTGTGTCCCCCAACAGGCCAGGCAGTGTGTAACCAGTTAGTGTGGCTGTTGAGCACTTGGGTGATGCCTGACATCTCCCAGCCCTTCCCTCTTAGGTGGATATCAGGCAGCAGCTTTCCACCTCAGCTTTGAGGCTGATGATTTTTTTGAGAGGACACTCAAGCCCTCTTAGCTTGTCAGTGACTGCAGAAGCAGCTGGTGAATGGTGCATTGACAGGCATGGTGTTAGTTCTTTCTCACGGATGTAGGGGAGAGGTGAAGAAAATTGGAAATTCAGGTTGTTGTTAACCTGATTTAGGGAAATCAGATGTGTATGGAGAGTTTTTATTTATTTTTTTAAAAATTTCCTTTAATCTGACTGGCAGCAAGATTGTTATTGATACATTTTATATGAAATTGATAAATGAAATGTGTTTACCTCTCATTTAGTTTAATAGATCAGAGCAGAAAAGCAATTAAGAGCCTTGATTCATAATATATTGGTATTGCATGTCTAAGTCAGACCTCAGCACACGTGGAATGTTTATTACCCTTCATTCGATATTAAAAAATATGTGTAGATTCTGATGTTCACATTTATTTTTTAAAGCTAATATTTTCATCAGTGAACTTTTCTAGAAAGTCTTTGGAGAGTTTCCAAATTACTGGTTATGTTGACAGTTATGTATCAAAGCATCCTCCACTAGACTCTGTCCTCTCACAGGATTATTTCTTAGGTGTGCAAATAGCTTTTTCTTCAGGAACTGTTACTTGCTTTTTGTTGTGTTTAAAAAAAAATAGACAAAACTTTATTTTTAGTGAATGTCTGTAGTATACTTGAAAATATGCATTTGTTAGTGTCATACATAATGCACATTGCACAAAATCTTTAAAATTTAGTGGTGTGTCCACTTATATTACTCAAATGTTGTTTGGTTATCTAGTAATAATCTTAAAAATTTGAAATATGGGGTTTTTTAGCCCCCTTTCTTTGAGGAGACAACAAATACTTAAACTAATATCTCTGAAACAGTATCATACATGTAGAAAACCCTACAAAACCTTAAGTACTAAAATGTGAGCTTACCTTTAACGTTCCTGAGACTCAGTTTCATTAATTTTATCTCTTTGATAGTTATGGAAACAGTTGTAACTGAAATATTCCGTGCTACTACTAGGCAGACATTAAAAGTAATTCAGTTTCATGAAATTGGAGCACTTTGTGACTGACAGTATTTTGTGATACTGCAGCCTGCTGTGAGAATAGTTCTTAGTGGTTCTTTAAAGAGCATGGCAGGTTTAATAAACCCCCAAAAAAACCCAAACCAAATCTTTTTCATTAGTTTTTCAATACTGCATGTAAGTACAAGCTAAATGCTGACTAATACTGAGGCAGGTCTGGTGTATTTCTTGTCATAAAGTCATACATATCTCATATTTTCATCTAGTATTAAATTCAACTGTGATCAAATTAAGTTACTGATGAGCTTAGGGTTTCGAAAGCTGTAATTGCAGTGTTTCCATACAATTAGTATGAATGATTATAATATTAGTATTAATGAATATAATATTAAGTTATTAAGGATTATGATGAATTTTTAAACACCAAGAAAGCTAAACCAAACCCTCCAAACCCCAAACTCCCCATGAGGAAATTATTTAAAAGTTAAGCAATGAAAGACTTGGATTTTGCAATTATCAGTGGGAAAGACTGGCTTCAGAAGAGGTGTAGAGTTAAATACTGCCCTATATTTTATACCCATTTATCAGTAATTAACCTAATGCAGAATATTGCTGAAGTCTTTGGGTGTTAATTGTTTTTCTTATTAGGTGAATTTAATAGGTGTTAATTGCAGGAACTGTACAGGGATTTGGAAAATCATATATTCTGTTGAAGAAAACTTGAATCGTACTCTGTTGTCTTCAAGAAAAATGCTGTGAAATAAATCTTCAGGGCTGAGATGAAGAAGAAGAATTATTCTTGTTTGAGGGAATTCAGTTTGTTTTCAGAGTTGCAGGGAAACACGGGGATTTTTTCTCAGTTTTACAGCTTTTTGACTAGTTGTCATTCACTAACTCCGATTGGCTTTCTCTCGTCCAGGGGAAGAATACCAGACGATTGAATTCGGCGTCAACGAAGTTATTGAGACCCAGTCCTCTGTCCTAAACAACACCGACTACAGTATTTCAAGCACCCTGAATCCTCAGGCTCCAGAATTCATTCTCAGCTGCACGCCTGCTCAGAAGGCCCCTGATGATACCCTCAGCGAGACAAACTACAACTCCATCGACTGCCAGTTCGCCGACCCAGCCCTCGCTCTGGACAGCGGCTCCAACGCCGACAACGACGGCTTGTCTGGAGGCCTGGGGCAAAGGGAACGCAAAAAGAAGAAAAAAAGGCCCCCCGGCTACTACAGCTACTTGGAAGACGTGGGGGATGGGGTGGCTCCTCCCACGGAGGCCCTGGTGAACGGCCACACCAACGCCTCGGGGCCGAACAGCGTGAGCGCGGAGGAGGCGGAGCTGACGGGGGACGGCCCCTCCCCGGCCACCCCCAGGACTTGCAACAGCCCGGAGAACTCTGTGGACTTCGTTAACGAAGCTGGCTCTGATGAGTCTGCTTCTAGCCCACTAGACAGTGCCAGGACTGCAGGGCAGCCTGAGGTATGCCGCGTTACTAATTCTGAACAGTTTTGCATCCCCTCAGAGACTGGCAGAGATAGCCCTTTAAGGACAGCTGTTGTACAGTCTTATGCTGGTACTGATACTACTGAAAATCTTGGCGTTGCTAATGGACAAACACTTGAATCCTCTGGTGAGGACACAGCTGCCAATGGGGTAGAATTGCACACTGTGGAAAGCACTGACTCAGACCGAGCTAAGCCTGAGGAAGCTTCACCTACTACTGAGGCAACAGTCCCGGTTGCAGGATCAGTCCCTGTTAATCAGCCTGCAAAATCGTGGGCTAGTCTTTTTCACAATTCCAAGCCCTCTGCTTCCACATCTGTGGTCTATGTTGAGACTAAGTATACCCCTCCTGCCACATCTCCTCTGGTCCCTGAAAAACAGGTTGAAGTCAAAGAGGGACCTGTTCCAGTTTCAGAGGATCCCGTAGCCATAAAGATTGCAGGTATAGTTAATACACACGAGTGGATGTTACACTGGAAGGGTATTAACTCTGCTTGTAAACAGGAGCGTGCAGTATGGGTAGAGAAGATCCCTCTGTTAATGTTCTGAATGAGATGACTGTTCAAACACTGCTTTGAAAGATGTATTTTTAAGGAGCTAGTTTTGTACCCCCCTGAGTAAACATTCCAAGGAGCCTTTGCCTCGTCATTATCCCAGATGCGGTAAAACTACTCCTGCTTGTCAAATGTTATCTTTAAGTGACCTGTGATTTTTAAATAGCCTGGTTGCATTCAGCTGTGTGCTGTTGTAATGAGGAGAGTACTTTAGAAAAGTCTGTTCTGAAAACAGAATGTTACAATATCCAGTATTTACAATCTTGTAATGCATCCCATTACAAGGAGGGAAGAGTATTGATGTGTTTAGACCAAAGTAGCTGAAATTCCTGAACACTTGGAGTAGCTGAAGTGTAACATCTAGATAGGTGTTGCTTCAGAAATTTTAATGCAGGAAACAGTTTTTATATGTATTGATCTGCTGTTTGACAGATCTGTCCTTCAAATTACGAAGGATTATCCTTAGCCATCGTAAACAATATTATTTTATTCAGAAATAATATAGCTGTTGCCTGTTCCAGAGTAACCATAAGAAACTCTCCAGAGGATGTGTAATATAAAGGCTTTGGCATTTAGTCCTGTCATATTTGAGAAATGCTAGGATGTGCCTGAGATCCTTTTTACAGATTCAGTCAGAAAACGTGAAGGAAAATGTCCCGTTGGTTGCATTTTATGTCACTGACTCAGGAGTGTTGGAACAAAAATATTTTTTAAAAATCTGTGGAATATTCTATATGGGAAAAGGCTTGTGCAAAATCCTGCTATTCATGCTACAAGCTGATCTACAAGTACATTGGTGTTCAGTATGTGACAGCTTCAAGTCCAAGTTTTCCACTGTAACCAGAGGCTGACCTGGAGATTTCTGTTCAGAACACCCAGAAGTATATGCCTGCCTAAATAACTCCTAGTTCTGTGTGTTTTTCATTTAGGTGTCATAAATGCAATTGACTGTGTTAAAAAAAATGTATACAAGCAGGTGATTATGGTTTGTATCAACCCATACACGTGGAGTATGTTAAACTCTTAAAATCTTAAGCTATCATTTGGTAATTAATTTTAACCTAAAACTCTTTTGTGACAACTGACAAGCTAGAACTATTTGTCATAGATTGAAAAATTGTTTGTTTTTTTTTTTTTTTTTATCTTGTCCAAGTTGCTTCAGCTTAAAGTTAACTTCCCAGACTTTTACTGTTTCTGTACTTTTTTTTGCCACCAGGTGGGAGCAGAGCTTTTTATTTTGTCTGTAATGTATTAAAATAGCAATGTCATTTTTATACTGTTTTCTCTACACCTTTGCTGTTAGCTTGCTGGTTTTGCAGAGGAATAATCTGAGTATAGATCCTTCTCTAGTGAAAAAGAATTGATCTTCTCATTGCAGCTGATGTAGGTAGGAGTTACATTGCTGGAGTTCCTGTAATTCAGATGCTACTGATTTTGGTATAAAACATTTAGGTGAGGATTTGCATTGCCATGTAATTGGTGCTTTGTTCTGTGGAAAGAGGTGACTTCCTTCATTGTCTGTCCTTTTTATTTCTTTTTTTTTTTTAATGTTCTCTGTCCTTTTTGGAAACTAGGTACATTAGTGCTTTGTTCATGCCCAGTTGTGTACATATTTAGTTTCAAATCTTCTCCCTAGGTGAGCATTACTCAACAGGGGTTTATAGGGATCCTGTTTCTTTTTAAGAGGTGGCTGCTGATGGTGCTCCTTGTTTTCCATGTGGCTGAGTTGAGATCCTGTTGTTGGGTTTGCTGGGAATTCCCCAGTTTCAACTCATGTCATGGGAGTGAATTTTTGACCACAAGTGCCATAGGGTGCTAAACACGGGTAAAATCTAGACCTGAAGTACCACAAATTCAGCAAGCAAACCTAGCAGGTCTTCTGATGTGATGTTGGAGCTCTGAAGCCCTTCTGTCCAGTTTTTATTTAGAACAGGTGCTTAGGACACAAGAAGATAAGTTATTTTTTTCCAGGGAGAAATTGATGATTTGTGCATTAATTTCACCAGTTATTACAAGGGAAGTTAATGATTCACAGGCACCTTGAGGATAGTTCAGTGCTTCTTGATTCTACCTGCAAAGATCTGTAGTTTCTCAGTTCTCAAACCTAAAGGAGAGCTACATTAGATAAGGAGATGAAGACCAGGACTAGAAAAGAAATAAACCAACCAAATTTCATGTAATCTTGATCAAGAAAAAAGTACTGAAGAGTTAATTTTAACAGGAGGCTGAGGTATGTGGTGAGAAGCTTTACAGGCAACACTAGTGAACAAGTTAAAGGAACTTCAGAAGCAAACTATGAACTATTGATGTTTACTTGGCACTACTCAAAGCAGATAACATCAGAATGGTGGAGAAGTGCAGGTACAATAGTTGCTCATTCAGAAAGAGACATCTGTACTAATTAGACACTTTAGCCTCCATTTAGATGCTGGAACAGACACTTTAATGGTTTGTTTCTGAGGGATGGTAAGGTTGGGGATGGTCCATACTTGTAAAAAAATAAGACTTTTCAAGGCTTCACTTGCCACATTTCAGTTACTATCTTTTGATGCATTACCTGATTATAATAATGCTTATGTAAACAAGCTATTCTCTGAGTAGTCTTTTAACTGTTCTTTGTAACTTTAGGGAGAATTTCAATGGGAGAATCTAAAAAGATTTTCTCAATCATGTTTTCTTGCAGTACTTTCATTGTGGATGATGGAATTAACATTGCACATAAAATTTGTTAACAGCAGGCAAAATTTCAGATGAATTGAAGAACACCAACATTTAATAACTGACTAAACCTACAATGATTTTAAATTAGGAGGAGGAAAATTAAATGCCAGCATGGAAGGATACACCAGCACAGAAATCAAAGGCAGCATACAGTGTGAAGTACAAATGGGTGGTAATAGTATTAGAGACTAAAAGGACCTGGGAGTTAGTAAAACTGAGGAAGATAAAGTTCTTTTTTTTCTGTGTGTTAATACCAATTTACATGTGACTGCAGTTCTGTCATTGCTCTTCAGGACTTGATGAAAATGCCAAACTTTGGGCATTACTGCTCAAGGAAGATGGAATAGTGCAGCAGCAAAAACAGAAGTGAGATTTGAAAACATTACTCTGTCTGCAAACATGGAAAAATTGGGTTTTAGTTTGTCTCAGCTGAGGCTGTTGGAATTACCATGGAATTAACTTCAAATATGTAAAACAAATTCATAAAGAAAATGGTGATTTACTGCTCTGTCAAGACTAGCAAGGAAGATAAGAGTTATTTACTTGAATTTATATTAAAAATGTTTGTGTCCCATAGTAAAAAAAATTTTTTCTTACTGATAAAGCTCCATGAGCAGTACAGCAATTAGTTGTGGAATGGGGGTGTGCAAGGCTTGGGGGTTTTTATATGCAACTTCAGAAATCTAGTGCTACATTTTGGACTTGCATTGATTGTGGAATTACTATGGGTACAATTTTAAACCCTTGTCAGGTATTAGTAATAATACCACCTGGTGAATGAACTGTAGCAAAACGTTTTCTGTTTACCAACAGAAATTTGTGAACCTGGTAATATTGTTCTGGATATATTTTCAAATCAAGGTCAAGTTAGTATCCACCAAAGTGAATGAGAATTCATTCTGGTTAGTGACATGTGCTTTATTACAGTTTGAAATTTTAACAAGGTTTTCTCATAGTTGTGTGTTTTTCTTCTGATGCTCTTGTAAAAGTTCTTTGTGTTAGATGTGAAGTGGAAATGTGGTATTGAATGTAATTGCTGTATACAAAAATCAATCTTCATGTTAGAAGGAACAAAACTCACTGTAATTGCTCCAGATGTTTACAAAGCAGTTGTATGACCACAAGAGGATGCTAAAGGTCTTAGTAATATTTTTTTTTGTATGATACAAAAATGAGGGAAAATACAGTTAACATGAAAAGTTATTGCTAGAACATAGAAAACATTTTTTTTATTATTGTTATCCTAATTTTCAGCAGTGCTTGGTTTTATTAATGAGAGGTTGTATGTGTGCCCAACACAGTTCAAACTTTGCTGCTTTAACAATTTATTCTGAAGTAGTTGAGCATTAATAATTTCATAGCAAAGGTGTTTCAAAACTCACAGAATAATTTTCATCTGCATCTGTTAAGTGCTAACGTCTTCCCTTTTCCATCTTCTGCTCAGATGTCAGGTTCTTTATGTAGTAGAAGACTGATTTAGATAGCTGCTCTTTTTTTGGCATGTTTTTTTTGCTGCTTTAACAATTTATTCTGAAGTAGTTGAGCATTAATAATTTCATAGCAAAGGTGTTTCAAAACTCACAGAATAATTTTCATCTGCATCTGTTAAGTGCTAACGTCTTCCCTTTTCCATCTTCTGCTCAGATGTCAGGTTCTTTATGTAGTAGAAGACTGATTTAGATAGCTGCTCTTTTTTTGGCATGTTTTTTTGGTTAGAACTGTGGGTGTCAGCAGGCTAGCAGGAAATATGATCTTACAGGTAAAGAGATAGTTTGGAAGCAGACAGACCTGGATTTTGTGTGCAGTTCAGCCACATCCTTGGCTCAGTTATGGCTTTGTGCCTCTGCTTTTCCACCTATATTATGTTGTCAGCTTAGGTGGCCCTAGTGAACAGCTCAAATGCTGAGATCCATGAGGTGGAGCATATAAGGGCTTTAGAGGCCTTCATACTTACTATAAAAAAAATAACCACCTTGCTAGACAATTGCCATGTTTATTTGTATTTTTTAAATTTTGCCTTGTCTTTATTTTGCAATTTTAAAATATACCAGATCAAATATTTTCCCTAAATAGTTTTTATTTAGGTACCTAAATAACAGGTCACACTTCCTGGAAAAACTCCCCCTGTTGCTCTCAGTTTTACAACAGACACTTAGATGCAGTGGTGTCTTAATTTTTAAACTTGGGCCATTGCTGAAGTTTTTGAAAGCAGGAAAACAGTAGGAACTATATTATAAGCCTGTTACCTTGTAATTTTGGAAATCTTAAAGCAGTAAATAAAACATACTTCTCAGAAGCCCACATGAACATCTGTCTGTCCTGTTTGCACAAAGATATTCTTGTAAAGTAGTGTGTTGAATCTTGTAAACTTGAGACTGCCCTATCAGCTTCTTTTCACCTCAAAGCAGAAGAATTTGGGAAGTGCTTTGTGAAATTGTTGGAAAGGGATTACAACTAATGAGCTTTTATATCTGTATATGTGTCTGTATATCTATATAAATAAAAATATCCAATTTTAGGAAAACAAAAAGGAAAAGCAGTTTAAAAAACCCAAACAAAACAATCTCAATTTTGAAATTAAATGATTAGTTTTTGTAGCAGCATCCTCCTGACCCAAATTCCAGGATGGTTTCAGCTGAAGACATATGTCTGATTAGAAATATTTGCAGTGTTTAAATGGAGCAAAAACTGTTTGAAGTTATTGGGAATCTTGTTAATGGATCTGAGTTTTTTTGTGATGCATCAGCAGATATTTGTTTGGATGGCTGGCACAGGCATTTTTGTTGATGCTTAATTTACTGTTTCTCATTCTGCAGAAATACTGGAAAATGTAAGATTAATACATAAACCAGTGTCTTTGCAACCACGAGGGCTGATCAACAAAGGAAACTGGTGCTACATCAATGCTGTATCCTTACCTTGGAAAAAATTAATACACTTAAGTTAAAATTTGTATATTCTATCTGTCAAAGTTTTTCTGGATTATTCTGGTAAGTATTTTATAAAAGTATTTGTCTTCCCATATCCTACTGCTGTGGTTAAAATGTTTTAAGGATATCATTCAGAAATCTAAGGGTATTTTGGATCATTGAACCTTGTGTCCAGGGTTCCCCTGTGGTTACACAATCCTGTTTGCAATTTGTCTCCATTACCTCTGTCAAAATGTTTCAGAACTGTGACTTTTTTCATGACCAAAAACCTTCTTGTAGTTTGTCACTATGTTTACTTATGAGTCCTTGTGTATCAGCTTAAGTAGTTATTTTTCTTTTGTGCTTGAAGTAACTGTTTTACTGTTGGGCTTTGTTTTGGCCATTTGGTGAGTGGATGGTTGGGTTTTCTCTTGAGCAGGCTGTCACTGTCTTATCATCTGCAGTGTTTAAAATAATCCTTTTACAATGGGATGGAAGATTAGCTCACTCTTAATGTATTAGAATTGTATTCCCCTGCAAAAAAAATAACTTTTACCTTGGGTAACAGCAATCTTCAGTGCTATATTATGATAGTTTTATTAATAATACTATTAATATATTGATACCACCTATGTTAGCAATGGCTCACTGCAAATGACAATGAGGATGCTTTAACTGGTAATGAAAAGTATTAAGACCAATTTCAAGACTAATCATTGCAGAACCTAATACCCCATATCCAGACCAGCAATTGTGCTTTAAACTTCAGCTTTTCTCTTACAGAACCAGTTCTGCACTCATCTGATTGTATGTGTTAGCTCCCATTTTTTTTTAATGTTTTTAAAGTGTTTCCTCCCAGCATACACTGTGGTTTTACTGCTTGCTCCAGACTCTTCTTTACACTGCAGAAAGTATCACATCACAGCAGATTGGGTTGGGTATGGGCCTGAATCATCACCTTTAAATTGAAGTCTGTCAACTGGCTTCTTCCATTCTTTTCAGAAAACATGTTACAGGTCATCACTTGCCAATTTTTGAATTGTCACTTTTGTAAGGTCTTCCCTAGGAAAGATCTTTTCCTCCCCTGCTCCTGGGCTAAATGTTTCCTTGCCCTTTAATTAAATTTTTTGATACTATTAAAATGTGAGTGAAATGAGTTTGTTAGAAGATACCAGGGTTAGTTAGTGTGACTTCAGTACATTATTAGTTGATGTTGTGATAAAAGTCCATCCATCTGTTCCAGCCGAGTTCCCAGATTGGTCTACATAATAAAGAGTTAGCTTTGTATTGCATTTCATTTTAAATATAATTGACTATTTTGTTAAATGTTTGTTGAATATTTCCTTAATGCCACTGGATAGACCCTGCAAGCCTTGGTTGCTTGCCCTCCAATGTATCATTTAATGAAGTCCATTCCAATGTATTCAAAATCGCAGCGGCCGTGTACCTCAACACCAATGCTAGACAGTTTGTAAGTAGATGTTAAAAACAAATAATAATCTGTGATTAGACTAAGCTTGTTCAGAAATATCTAACACGATTGTTTACTGCAGTTGTTGAATGTTGATATGTATCCAGAAGTCTTCTTGGCCTGTTTTTTTTGGTGATACATGGCTGTTAGAATGAACTTGGTATTTTACAGTTGCTTCCTGTTGCCTGTGGAATATCAAATAGTGTTTAATAGGCAAAAATGAGCCACTAGAGCTGCAAGAACTAACCTAACACCTTGGTTTCCTTAGCAGTGATCAAGTTAATTTTTACATCTGAACTTTACTCAGACTTCATTATGATAGTCTTCAATACATTTTTTTTTTGGCAGTCAGTAATGACAATGATCTAATTTTTGTATTTGTCATTCAAAGTCTTAACTTGCTGCTCATGTCTAGTTGTTCCTTCCATTCTGTTTCAGTGTTCGTTTAATGAATGAATTCACTAATATGCCTGTACCTCCTAAAGCAAAACAAGGTGAGTGGGAATAGGGGGAGAAAAGTCTTAAAATCATGATATGAAGTCTTTGGGGTAAGGATCTGCGTTATGTGATATACTTAAGACCTTTAAATATTGGTTCTTGATCCTCTTCATGGCTTTTTGGACCTTTAGGGTTTCTTGATATCTTAAGTTTGCTGTTGCTTTTCTCTCAGTGTTACTCTTATTGGTGATCCATGTCAGGAATTCATAGGTTTGCATCTTAGATTTTTTTTTTTTCTTCTTTTTGGTAGCCCAAGTGTACAAGTGCAATAAGAATAGTTTTTCTTGAAGGTTAGCTTAATTGTTAATGTGTTTTCTAAGAACATGCCCTTTCTAACAGAATCATTCCTCTTCCTTACATATTTCCAGCTGTTTGGTTTATTAGCTTGCTCAATTCTGTCATTCTTCCTCAAATACTAAACTCTCACATTCATCCAGGACAAACTGGGCAGTTGCTTGCAGGCATCTTATCATGGCTTTTAATTCCTTCCCATCTTCTGCACTAGTTCAGTGTGAGAACGAGTGATTCTTGCTAATGTGTGGTTAGGATCAATGAGGATTATGAAGTGAGGAGCAGAACATTTTTGATTTAATGCTGATAAATTATCTTGTAGATTTGATTTTTTTTTTTTTTGTAACTCCAAATCTGTTTTATTACAAACTTAAATAAAAAAAAAAAAAGTTTCAGGAATGTGTTTATGTAACATTATAGGAAAATATCACGAGGAGCTGGTTGTTCCAGTGATTTCCAAACAGTTCAGACATTTCTGTGGTTTACTGCTGAAGTTTTGTTTCTGTAAAACAAATCTTCCTGTCTTATGCAACTTATTATACTTCTAGGTCATTTTATTGTATTGGGTAGTTTTCAGACATAGATTCAGGGGCCTTGAGCATTCTGTCAGACTGTTTCTTGGGGTTTTTTTGTGTTTTTTTTTTTTTTTTTTAATCTGCAGTGAGGAAAAGTGATCTATTACAATTGCAAATATAGAAAATATTTCAGGAAGTTCTTTGAACACAAGAGAAGTACAAAAATTTAAATAGAACTCGGGTTGTTCTTTTATGATGGCAGTAGATGTTCTGGTTAGTCTTCAGAGAGTTGACTATGAAAAGAGAGTAGTAACTTTTCCAGACCACCTGTAAGTCTGTGTAGAGTGATGTAAGTTGTGTGTTTTGTTTATTTTTTTTTTTAAATATAAATTCACACATAAAAGAGTTGTATCTTACAAATTTTGAGCCTGAGTTGCTAAAATTGTTATAAAACTACTAGTAAAAAATCATTCTGGATTCCAAGATCTTGTGATGTGTGAAGAGAGTGTTAGGGCATGGTATAGAAAAACTTCTCTGTATGCTTATTTACATGTGCTTCTCTTTCACCTTGCAGCTTTAGGTGATAAAATTGTGAGAGACATCCGACCAGGAGCTGCCTTTGAACCTACCTACATTTACAGACTCCTGACGGTTATAAAGTCAAGTCTGTCAGAAAAGGTGTGACTTAAAAATCTTTGACTTTTGCAGTTGCATTGCCAGGCTGTCATTGCCATCAAAACAATTCAAAGCCACACATCAGGTCCTGTGCCTAAATCAACTAGCTTGATAGCTCATTATGAAGCTAGACTGTCTTAGGACTTAAATTATAGGGAGGTGTTAATCACAAATTCAGCAGTTTAATATGTCAGAATAATGAGAAAATTACCATTGGAATAGAACATCTGGAGGTGTTCAAAAAATATGTAGATGTGGCACCTGGGGACATGGTGTGATGGTCGTGGTAGTGTTGGGTGATGGTTGGACTTGATGATCTTAGAGGTCTTTCCCAGCCTTAAAGATTCTATGATCTCTTTTTATAAAGAAGATACCTCTTGATTTATATTTAAGAAATGAGCAGTTTGTTTCTGCTTGGGATTCAGCTTGGAATAGTTGTAGGTCCACAGAGGCTTAAGATTTCAGGATTAGTTTCAGTTTAAAGGAAAGATAATAGTTCAAACCATCTTTTGATTTGACCTTGGTTTGACAGCAATTTTTAATACAACTTTGAAGAGAAATAGAAAAAAGTTACCAACTCACTTGTTAAATCAAATTTGTATTGAGAAGAGGGCAAAAATGCTTGTATCCAGGTCAAGCTCATGTGTGTACTCACTGCTTATGGCAGGTTACCAATTAATGGCTTGGTTCTTTCTGAAATGGTTAAAAATGAGTTTGTTACAGTAGTATTTAAACTATATTTCACTTTACAACTTAGCTGTTTTACTAACTACTCAGTCTAAACTACTAGGAGAAAGCTAGATGTTCAGTGTCATGAACGTTCTGTTAAAGTGAGAACATGAAAATGTCATATAATAATTGAAAAAAACCCCCAACATTTTATTCAGGGCAGGCAAGAGGATGCTGAAGAATACTTGGGATTTATCCTTAATGGACTTCATGAAGAAATGTTGACCCTAAAGAAACTTCTCTCTCCACATAATGAAAGTTAGTGGATTATTTTATGTTGTTGTTTGTAGCAAACAATTTATTTCAAATATTTTCCTTTTTGGAGGTGATTCTGTAATACGCAGAGTAGTGTTTGGAACAGATGTTGAGATAGGGGTAGAATGCCATGGTTTAGGGCACTTACATTAACAAATGTCTGTTTGGAAGAGCATTATTGTCATTCTGAGTATTGACAGAATGATTGTGGTAACTCATATACTCGATACAACTAAACAACAAATTTGTGTTATTAATTTTTACTGAGCCCAGCTGAGCATTATTTGGGGCTCACTCCTGTTGACTGGTCTTGTCTGAAGCAGAGGTATGTTTGTGTGCCAGTCAGAATACCTGCCACACCACTCTTTACTGGGGTTTGGGCTCTCTCCATGGCAATCTGAAAATATATCAGTGTGTTTTTTCACTAATCACTGTTAGCCTGGTATTACCCAAGTGTAGATTTAAGATCACTAGTTATCCAATTTCTCTTTAGTAAGGTAAATTTTTTTTTTTAATGATAAAAAATGATCATTCCATATTTTGTTCTTCAGCTGTGTGCAGTTTATAGCCTCCTGACTTTGGCACTTGCAAAGAAAATATTTGCTAAGCCTTGGGTTCCCTGTAAAATATCTGTGCAGAAAAAGAGTTGTCTTTAATAATGGCATAATTATGTTTCCAGAATAACACTTGACTTTCTAATTTTCTATCCCATAAATTTACTACTAAAAATATATCAAACTTTGCTAGAAAACTATATGTGTTTACATACAGTCATCAGTGAGCTGCATTCTGTTAATAATACATGGATGTGTCCAGCTAGGAGTGAGCCTGGAAAATATTTGTTCTCATTTACTTTCTCAAATCTATGAAAATATTTTATCCTCTGAAAATTGGTTGTATTGGGGGTTTTGCCTTTCTAATTCTTTATCTGTATACATGTTTTATTTGTGGGGGGAAAAAAAAAAAAATCAATGCATTGTTTTTCTTCTTCACTTGAAGAACTCTCAGTGTCCAATGGCCCTGAGGCTCAGACTGTTCATGAGGAAGAGGAGCAAGATGAGCAAGGGGAAGGCAGCGAAGATGAGTGGGAGCAAGTGGGACCCCGCAACAAATCATCGGTCACTCGACAGGCTGACTTTGTTCAGACTCCCATTACTGATATTTTTGGTGGTCACATAAGGTACAGCACTTCTTCAGGAGAGCTGCTGAGACCGTCGGTGGCTTTGCCTTTACATGAACTTTTTCCTCTGCTTTGCTTTCTCTGGTTTTCACCAGTTTTTGGGTAGTTGGATGGAAGAGATTGTTACACAGTTTGTTTAGGCCAGGAGAGGTGAACACACTGCCTTGAAGCAAGAGAGTTCAGAAGATGGACCAGAATGATCCAAGGATAAATTAAAGATTCTATGACTTATTCTAGAGTCTGAATCTTTTAAAATGTCTTTAAAGAAAAGATTGTTAGAGAGAAACCCCCCAATTACATCGAGAAGCAGAGTTTGAAATATGTAGGCTTTGCAAATTAATGTCTAAGAATTCCAAAGAACTTCAGAGCTACCTAATTTTTGTGACCTCTGAGGAGTCTTGACTCATTTTGTAAATAAGGACACTAAGGGATGGTGAGATTTGCTAAGAGTTAAATCTAGTCAGTAAAAGAGGAGAAGAAAATAAAAAAAATTATAAACCTCTGTTTATTTAGACACGTATGCTTCCTGGAGGCAGGAAAGTTATGTGTAATAGTTAATAAATGTTCAAGGTGAAAGAAGTTTGGACAAGTGTAAACTACTACAAGATGTTACAGGAATGGAAAGAATGTGGGAAATTACATTCAGGTCTGATACCAGACGAAGGCAGAAGGTAGATATTGAAAGAATATTTTTTGGCAAGCTTTGGAGAAATGTATAATTTAAAATGAAAGCAAGGTAAACACTTGCTAAAAACATATTCCAAAACAAAAATGCTAGACTTGAAGAATTATTTTTAAATTGGAGACAGACACTTAATTGCTAGTGTTTGACTCCCTGTGTTGCCAGGCATTCAGTCTAGAGGTGTGAATACTGTGGGCTAGTGCCTTCTGCCTGGGAAATGCACTGAAATTATTCTTCTGGGATTTGAGTCAGACAGCTGGCAAATAAAATTATACTTTCCATAGAAACTGGCAGACAGGTATGTGTAAGTATTGATGAAATTCCCTGTTGATGTATGGTCATGTACCCAAGGTATTGTTAATATCCTTAGTATATTTATCACAGTCAAAATTGTTTTGATCTCTACATGATTCCATTAGTTTTTAAATTAAGAACAGCAAGAGAATGCTGCCTTCTGGGGAAGGCCACAGAAAACGACAGAAATGCTTGAAAAAAGGCAAAAATCTTGCACTGAGCAACAAAACCACAGGGTCTAATCCGACATCTGTTGTCTGCTGTTCCCACACCTGCTTTATTTAGCCTCCAAACCAGGTCACACAATTCACTGTGGAGCAGTATCCCATGCTGAGATCCTGGAGAGCTTCCCCCTCTGAGGCTGAGGGTGGAGACAGGAAGGGTTGGATACTGAAGTGCCAGTAGAATTCCATTCAATGAAAGCATCAGAAACTGGAAAAACCAAGTGGAAGAAGCAGCTAGGAAAACATGGTTTGAACTGGCATCATTTGGCCTGGGAAATTTTAGGCTGTCCTCTCAAGGCTTTAATTGTCGATTAAATGCCTATTTAGGCATAATTGCTTAAAAGAACAAAAAACCCCCAAAAACAGGCAACCCAAAAAGTCTTCCTTCAGCAGTGCAAGACTTAAATGTGTAAGTAAAAAGATCCACAGTTCAATCACAGAATCCCAGCATGGTGGGGTTGGAAGGGACCTCTGGAGATCATCTCATCCAGCCCCCCTGCTCCAGCAGGTCACCCACAGCAGGGTGCCCAGGGTCACAGCCAGGTGGGTTTGGAATCTCTCCAGAGCAGGAGACTCCACAGCCTCTCTGGGCAGCTGCTCCAGGTTCAGGCACCCTCACAAGAAAGAATTTTCTCCTCCATTCAGATGGAACTTCCTGGGTTCCAATTTGTGTTTGTTGTGCCTTGTCCTGGGGCTGGGCACCACTGACAGGAGTCTGGCCCCAGCCTCTTGCCACCTGCCCTTTAGCTCTAGATAAGCATTGGGGAGATGGAAGATGAGGATCTGGTTTGTTCAGGCACAGGAGTCCCTTTTAACTTCCAGCTTGTGTGCATTTCAGATATTTGTTATGCAATCTTAACTCCCAAGGCAGTTAGAACTCTGCAAAATATTGATTTCTGTAGGTAGTACCAACTTCAAACACACTGGTACTGCACCACGAAATACATCACTTACATTGCTGTAGTTTAAGCAGGGTAGCAATGGGCAGTGCCTGTTCTACTCAAAAATATTTACTGTAGAGTTCTGACAGTACCTGAGAGGAGTATTCCAGCTGAAATTTGTAATTCTAATAAGTGATACTGTTAGAGAAAGCCATAGTCCAACTTCTGCATATCTTTTTGAAGAAAATGTTTTGAGGAAATGTTACAATTTCTAATAATAATGAAAAAAAAAACCCTTAACTTTATGTTTTCAGAATATTGCCTATATTATTGACTGAATCTTTAATACATGGACTGGAAAACAGTTGGACTTGTTACCATTTTTCTGTTGATTATTGCACTAAATAATGGTTAGCTTAAAAAGCTCATCCAGAAGCAGCCAGACTTACACAGTGAAGGGCTTGTTTGTCGACCCCACACTTGCCATGTGTTGAAGGTTTTGTCCTTAAATATAGCCAAGGAGGAAGGGTTGAACTGAAATAAAGATGCTCCTGTTTTTCAGACCCTCTAAAGGAGATTTCTTTGCCAATATAAAGATGCTTTGGCTTTCTGTTGGTGCTTCAGGGCTTTGCCTGAGTCCAAGGGGCTCTTCAAGAGGAGTTTGCAGTACAGGCATTAAAGCTGTATGTTAACAGTTCCTACACAGCCTGGAGAAATTTCAGCATGGCTACATCAATTAGAGCTGTGTTAATTATCTTGGCTACTGTCAGGCTTTGTACTGTAACAAGCATAGCAATATGATAAATTATTTGGCTGTAGAAAACCACATTTTTTTGTAGCAGCTGAGACTTTTTAATGTAACCACTGTTTTCAGAATAATAATAAAAAAAATCATTCTTGAGCCTTGTTTGATGATTTTAAGTTTTCAGCAAAGAAAAATGAAAATCTGGAAGAGTCCACTTCTCGTAGACATTGTGGCTGAATGTGCTGTCCCATTGCACAAACCAGTGATTGCCAAGCCAGGCTCCTTAAAGGCTGCATCTGAACACTCTTCACACAAAAATAAACCCCCCAAAAAAGCCAGGAAACATATTCTCATGCCCTAGGTTATTGCTCCTGCCAGTTTTCCAAAAGGCTCCAATTTAAGGACAGAGGGATACAAGGAAAAAGTCTGGATGTGGAAAATGATGGGAAGAAAAGGAAATGTCAGACCTTGATGGAGCATAGTTTTGTTTCCTATGGCAAGATTTAAGCAAACAATTTAAAATCACTGTGAAATTGGTCTTAGGGAGCTGACTAAAAAGTGTGTATATTTTTATTGGTGAGTCTGGGATTAGTTGTAATTTTTACAGTAGAGTAATTTTTACATAATTTCAAAACTCTGAACATGAAAAGAGTCCAGAGGGGAATCTTTTGAAATGCATTATCAAGAATTTCAGTATTTTGCTTTAAACTTTTGATACTTAGCAGATCACTGTTTTAATCCTTACATAAAGAAAACAATTCAAGTATAATCCTGTTCTAGGTTGATGTGAAAATCATCTCATTTGCAGTTGAGAGGATCCAGGTGGTTGAAATTCAGGCTTAACCTTTTTAAATGTGCTTATTTCGCATTGATAAATCGAGTTGCTAAAGCAGACTTCAGTCCATTTTTACTTGAGGGTTCTGTGTTGTTGAAAACGACTCTGCTTTACTATATTTTAACTTTCTTGTTTCCCTAGATCTGTTGTTTACCAACAGAGCTCTAAGGAGTCTGCGACGCTGCAGCCGTTCTTCACCCTGCAGCTGGACATCCAGTCGGACAAGATACGCACCGTTCAGGATGCCTTGGAGAGCCTGGTGGCAAGAGAGTCTGTCCAGGGCTATACCACCAAAACCAAGCAAGAGGTGTGTTCTGTTCATCCCTTTTTACAGTCCAATACTTTTCAAAAAGGGGTTTTATACAGCTTTCGCTTTACAAGTGGTTCCTTGAACGCTGCTTATGTTAACAAAAGAGGGATTAACCTTTTCAAGGTGTCCTGCAGCAGTAAATGTGTATTGCACTTGAACAGAGCCAGTGAAAGGGAAGATTGCTAACTCCTAAACACAGCCATGCCTGAAAATAGCTGTTTTCTGAGTTGGTGTAGTAATTGGTTGGAGATTTAACTGGAGCGTATATTAAATCACCGAGGTGGCCTGTGGCAATAATACGTACTATTATGAGTAAAATAGCTTTTAGCTGATCTTCCCCAGCTGATTCCTGGGGATTGCCAGATGTTCTTAGGAAAGGAGCAGCTCTTCAGTGCCACTGGAAGCATGCTGGAGCTTTAAGAAGAGAACTCTTGTAGCAGAACACTTGCATGGTTGCCTGTGTGGCTGTTCCTGACTGGGTTTGATTACACGTTTCACTTACAAATCAAAGGCAGAATTATTCATTGGTGTTACTCTTCACAGTTGGAGAATCCCTAGAAAAGGGGGAAAAAAACCAAAACACAACAACCCAACAAAACAACCCCAGCAGTATAAAAGTTGTGATGAAACAAGTAAGGGGGAGGAGATTTTCAGCATCAAGGAGAAAAACCATGGAAGCAGACAGATGGAAGCAGGTGTAAAACTTCCTATGGCAAAGGCTGCTCTGAAAAGGAAAAGTCTGATTTTTCCCAGTGATACTCAAACAATAGGAATAAGACCTAGACTAGGTGTTACCTGTGGTGCTTGTGGAGTTCTCCTCTCTGCTTTGAGAGAAGTTTGGAGGAATACCAGTCAGGATTTTCACACATGCCTATAGTTGATCCAGAGGGGATGGAGTGGAGAACTTTTGAGATCTCCAAGCTCTCCCAGGATTCTCTGACACTTTATGTACCAGGACAATTTACTCTATATTCTCTTGCAGCTCTGTAAATGGTTTTTTATCTTAGTTTTCAGTACAATACATAATAGTAATATTTGCAGTAGAACCATACTTCATAGGAGGAAAAACACACTTTTGATATTGCAGAGGCTAATAAATTAAACTAAATTAATGAACTCCACTGAGGTATTGCCTTGTTGCCTTGCTTCTTATGGTGTGCAACAGTAAAGACCATCTCTAGGGTGCATGGATTGCTCAGATGGAGATTTCTGCATTTTATGGTTTTTACTGCAGATTATTTTAACTTCTTTACTGACAGCCTAGTGCTCAGTTATGGGGTTTATAAGAACTGGGGATCAAAGTAAGTGCTGAAGGTTTCACCTGCTTTATATTTCAGAGTCTGAATGGAAATGCAAATATTCACAGTGTCCTTTAGATCTTTTTTTCAAAAGAAACTACAGTTGAAGTAGCTAAAATAGCTGTATTAAAATTGCAGTGAAAACACTGAACAAGAATAGGACTTTGCCAATAGTGATATTCAAAATTAAGAGGTACTTAGTCTATATTTTACAGAAGGGAAACTCAGGACTAATGATAAAGCTTAAAAATTGTATTTTATTATTAAAAAAAATTATTACTGTCTTCTAATTACTTTAATCTGGATTGTAGTCTTTACAAATTGTGGGATTAAAAAAACAGGTATAAAAAGAATCATCTTCTGAATATATCTGAATAATTTCTTTTAGAGTTTGCTTTATTTAATAATTGAGCTGATTATGAATTTTATGTGTGTATAAAAAGGAAATCAGTTAAATTTTCATGCAGTGTTTAAAATAATTGGGCATTTCAAATGAAAATAAGTGTCTGAAATCAGGTGGCATCCTCTTGCTGTTCCTGACCCCATTTCACTTACTCACTAGCATTTGAAGATAGTTGTTTTGGTTCCTTCTGGTCTTGCAGATCACTTTAAATCTTGAATTTTTCAACATTTAATATTTGTTTTAAAGGGCTTAATTTTTATCCCCACTGAAGTGATTTTCTTCTTAGTCTTTTACTCTTATTTGCAGTCCTGCTTATGTTTTCTAACAGAGAAGCAAAGCAGCCTTACCTCATTTACTTTTCCAGGTTGCCTTCCACCTACTCCTTAGGAGTCTTCACACCCCCTGGAGCTCTCAAACAGCTCCTTGAGGATCTTACAAGTATTTTCTTTGGACTCTGACTCACGTTCACTAAACAAACACTTGTGGCACTTTTAGCTGGTAACTTTGCTGCCAGAAATCAGAGTCCCTCCACAGACAAAATGAGGGCAGCAGAACACGTGCCTGTTCCTCAGCTGCTGCTCCTCAGCCTGGCACCATCACACAAAACTGCTTTGACCTGTGGTTTAGGCCAGCACGGAGCTGCACAGCTGAGGTGCAGGGATCTGCTCCTGTGTGCCAGCTGGGTTACTGAGGGTGGGGAATGGCAGCTGCTTAAACCACTGCAGTGACCTTCTTCTGCAGCCTGGATTCCTGGGCTGGGAGCTGTTAAGTTCTTCTCTCACAACACTCTGAATTCACTGACTTCAGATTTGAGACTTGGAAGAGTCAATACAGGAGAATCCTCAGATAGGAGCAACCAAGTGAATCAAGTGCTTATTTATTTCTCTCTCTCTAAAGCCTTTATGGATTTGCTTCCTAAAAGCAGAAGCTGTTCCATGCTTAGATGCATGGAATATAAACTCTCTCATGACTTTGTGGGAGAATAGCATGAACCTCATGTCACCCCACTTCATTAGCTTGCCTTCTAACTTGTCATCCTGAATGTTTTCTCCTGGAAGTCGGGGAGGTGGGCACCAGCAGGCACTTACCTGTTGAGTGGAAAAGAACAGACTCCTGTTTGGCTTCCTTGTTTTAAATAAAAACACAAAAAAGCTCCTCCCAGTGCTCAGTGGGAGCTGCCACTGCTGCCAGGGGTTTGGTGAAAGGCTTATTTTCAACCCTTAATATGCAGGTGAAAATTTAGGTTGTAGAGACTATTTCTGCTTCAAATGTAGAATTGCTTCTTGGAAATTGGATCAGCTCAGATGCATGAGGAAGTGAAGTACCCTACAAAACCTGCTTGCTTCAGCATCCTAAGAGATTTTACTTTTCAATCTTGGAATCAGATGTTTTCCCCATCAGTTTCTATTCCACGCTCAGTAGGTTCTAGCAGAATCAGGCCCTGTATTGAAAAATAATATGCTGACCATTTGCAATAAAGAGATTTTTCTGCTTTAAAAAAAACACAGAGTGGTTATTTTGAGAAATGTTTTTAGGTCATAATTTCTAGGAAGGCAAAACATTTTTTTTTTTTCCTGCAATTCTTAGTTCAGTTCCAGGTTTTCAGACAGTGACTTTGTGGATTGTTTGGTTATAATTATATAAAAATCAATATTTAGTAGAAAAAAGTGAGGTTGCAACTCCTATTTTTTTTCTCTTTGAAGTTTCTTCAGAACCTTTCAAAAACCCAGCATACTTTTTCTAGAAAGAAAAATCTTTAATTACTGATCTCTTTCATAACAGCTGATCATGATGCCTTGCTCACTTTTTGGTAGCCTACATAACAGCTCACTTTGGTTTTTAAGGGACTTCTTGAGGGACAAATATCTTCTGGTTAATGCAAAATAATTTCTGAACTGTTGCATAGTAACTTTTTACTCTTAATTTATCAATATTTGTTATCCCCCCTATGAACAGTACCTTATATTAATGGTACTGTTGTGAGAAGGTGTTTTTTAACAGTGTGTTAGGATTCTTTTGGTGGAAAGGAGGAAGAAAGTACCAGTTAAAACTGGAGAAGTCCAGTGTAGAAACTTGTATTTCAGTGGGGAAGTGTAGGGTGTGCCCAGGACACCCTTTAAAGTGACACAGCCTTCAAACTTTTTAGCAAGGTAGTCAGCATTGAAGTCACCATTTCTGGAGCAATCAAGAAAATTTCATAAGATAAACATAGATTTAGCTGTTTACACTGAATTCCTTATTTTAGTAGTTTTTCTTTTGGTTTAAAGAGATTCTTTTTTGATTATAGGTAATTTACCTGTTGAAAACTCAGTAGTAATTTGGATTAATTTTTATTTTTCCTTTTATTCAGCTTTTTTTATAAAAAGAGGTCAGCTTATAGAAATGAAAACAGCTTTCCAAAACCTTTTGCAGCAGGTACTGGGGTGTGGTGCTCCTGTCATCTGCAGTTCAGAGTTCTTTGAAATCAGCAACATGAGCTGCAAGTTATTGACCTTTGATTAGAGTATAAAAGCCTGCTGAGATTTAATCACTAAATTTCACCAGTTGTTGTTCCTGGGGGTTCTCCAGCAAGGTGGTTTTAGTACTGCAGTGCCTAAATATCTATGTTCTCCTTTAACAGAACACTTTGGTGGAAGATCCCATAAACTGCAGCATTTACCATAAGTTAATGTTGTTATAGCAATAAATCGGTGTTTTTTTCTGCTAATGTATTAAAAATTAAATACTTGCTGCTCATTTAAAGGACTAGTTCTGAGCAGTTAACAAAAAAATCACAGGTTTCCTTCATGTTGGTTCTGTGTATGTGTTAGGTGGAGATCAGTCGAAGAGTGACACTAGAAGAACTCCCCCCTGTTCTTGTTTTACACCTCAAGCGGTTTGTATACGAGAAGACTGGTGGATGTCAGAAGCTTATCAAGAATATTGAGTATCCTGTTGATCTGGAAATTAGTAAAGGTAAAGGGTTTTGAATAGATTTCCCCCCTCTTTAGGGAGAAGATAACGTTGTGTTTCCTCAGGGTATCCGTGTGTCAGTTGTCTTCTTTCTTGTGCCCAAGATTTCTTCTCTGTTGTTATCTGGAAACGTAGCAATTTGGATGAATGTTTTGCACATCTTTTTTCCTCCTTCATAAAAAGAATATATTTGGGTGTCTGGGTTCAGTCTTGCCAAAGCTGCTGTTGCCTGTATGTGATTTTGGGCATGCATTTTGCAAAGAACATTACAGTGAAAGATTTAAAAACCTTTGGCACATTCCAGATATTGATTTGGCCAAATAAGAGCTTCCTGCAGATTTCAGGACTAAGGTTTTAGACTGCTGAGGACAAACAGTGGAAGTGATCCTCTTGAATGAGGGGTATGTCCCTGTGCAAGGCTGCTGCCAAATAATACTGGGGGGTTTTATCTCAGATTTTATTCAGAGAAGTGGCAAAAGGAAACTGAAATTTTTTTTATAGAAAAAACATGAAAAAAAAAAGCCATAGTTTGGAGATGAAACAGCAAAGTTCTTTCATTTAACAAATATCTTAAGAGATACTGATTTTGAAAAGTGTGAGAGCTAGCATATAATCCAGCATCTGAAGCTTGCCAAATCAAGTGTGCTTTGTTTTGATCTGACAAACTGTTAGCCAGTAGCTCAAGTAGGAAGAATAAAGTAAAACAAAATTAATGATTACTCACATCTCAAGTGATATATATATATATATATATGCTTTGTCAGACAGTACCCTGTTGTTCTTAATATTTAATTTTACAAATTTCCTTAAAGAATGCAAATTTTTAGAACTAGTTCAATTTGCCTTCACTGACAAAAGGACTTGTAGTATGATTTGGAATCTGAAATTGATTTTGTCATTGTCTGACAGCAGGAATTTAAAAAAGAACAGTTCTTTTGCTGTCTTCCCCCCACACTTCTGTTTTTTTAGTGGTGTTTTTTAATGTCCTGTAAACATCAGTGTTCAGCAAGCCTCAAAGTTCATTTCCTTGATTGCCAGGTATCAGAACCACAATGGTTCTTTGAAGTGCAGAAGATGCTTTAATTAAACTTCCTCCTTTATTTGCTGTTGGTTTCTCTGAGAAATAATTTGTCCCTTTGAAATGGAATTTTGAAACTCGCTAACTGTTGCCTTTGTGACTTCTTTTCTTCTTCCAGAGCTACTATCTCCTGGTGTGAAAAGTAAAATTTTTAAAGGCCAAAGAACCTACCGGCTCTTTGCAGGTATTTTATCTGTGTGCCTCCTCTTCTGTGACTGATGTTTGACATCTCTTTTGAAATGCCTCTTTGAGTACTGCCTTTGAACCCTCAGGCTGAGTATTGCTGGCAGGATTTGAATAGGTAGAAGAGTTAAATTTGGAGGAGGTGATGATTTTTGTGCAAAGAATTGATGTTTTCAGGAGCATCTGCAGTGTATACAAAACACCTAAATTGGTAGTTAAGGTTGTAAGCTCCTGTAAATTCAGAAGCAGCATTTTAATGTTGGAACAAAACATGTTGTCTCTGGCTAGTAATGAATTTCCTGAAGTGTCAAACTCGGGTTGCTTGTTTGTGTTGGTGTCAGGAGAACACAAACTGCAGAACCAGAGATCTTCACTTCCCCATCACCAGATCTGAGCCTACTGGTGGCCTTGGGTGACTTGGTGGTTTGGATCCAGCTTTGTGACCACTGAGGTTACAGAAGGAAATAACATACCTGTCTCTTGTGGAAACTCAGGACTGTTTCTGGCAGTGTAATTTTTGCCTTATTGATAGTGGTTTTCAGGGGATAAGTTTAGACAGTGTATTTAAGCAGGTTTGAAGGCTCCTGTTGTAATTTCTCTAACTCCTTCCATGGAAAAGTACAATACTTCAGTCCTCTGTCAGCCTAGGACTTCACATAGATGGAAACTGAGCTCATTAGATGAGTTTTAAATTACCACTTATTTTAAATTACCAAAATAAGCTTTTGAAGAATTGAGCTTCAGATATCATCCAGGATTTGGCCAGTTATCTGGCAGTAAACTGCAGAAAACCAGTAATTCAAGTTTAAGCTGCAGTAAAAAGAAAAAATTTCCCAAATTTTTCAAAATGTATGTAGTGTATTCTGCTGGTTTCCTTTGCTTCAGTTATTCTAAAATATTTAGTTTTGTGGAAGAAAATCTGAGTAAGCCTGAAGTGTGACTCTGGTCTGAGAGCATGTCAACAATTCCATAATTATTTATTTCTGCTCTAGTATCAAGTACAGCAGTTCCTTCTAGATGTTATTTCTTTCTGTAAATCCTTCCCAGGATGCCCTCTAGGAAGTTCTAAAAAGAAATTTGAAGCTTTAAATTCTTGCTTTACTTGAAAATCCTTTTAGAGTTAGGAGATTTCATAGAATCAGAGCATGGTTTGCATTGGAAGGGACCTTAAAGATCATCTCGTTCCAACCCCCCTGCTGTTAGCAGGGACACCTCCCACTAGACCACGTTGCTCAAAGCCCCATCCATTGTGGTCTTGAAGACATCCAGTGATGGAGCATCCATGGTTCCCTTGGGCAACCTGTGCCAGAGTTTCACCACCCTCATAGTGAAAATTCTTCCTAATTTGTAGTTTAAACCTCCCCTCTTGCAGTTTGAAGCCATTACCCTCATCCTATCACTACAAGCCCTTGTGAAAGGTACCTCCCCAGCTTTCTTGGAGGCCTCCTTCAGATACTGGAAGGCTGCAGTAAGGTCTCTGTGGAGCCTTCTCTTCTCCAGGCTGAACCACCCCAACTCCCTCAGCCTGTCCTCACAGCAGAGCTGCTCCAGCCCTCTGATCATCTTTGTAGCCCTCCTCTGGACCCCCTCCAACAGCTCCACATCCTTCTTGGGCTGGGGTCTCCAGAGCGGGACACGGGTGGGCTCTCAGGAGAGCGGGGCAGAGTCCCCTCCCTTGGCCTGCTGCCCACGCCGCTTTGGCCACAGCCTGGGATACTTTGTAGGCTGCACCCACAGAGGGTCGAGCTTTTGAGGGGCCTGGGTGGTGAAATGCTTCTCCCAATGCTGGAGGAGCATTAGCGACACACCCCATCCGACCCGCGCGAGCCCTAAACCCTCGAACCCTCTTCCCCGGGGGGGGGGGCCGCCGCCCGTGGGGGGCGTCCTCTCCTCAGCAGCCTCTCGTTGCAGTTGTGTACCACCACGGGAACAGCGCCACGGGCGGGCACTACACCACAGACGTCTTCCAGATCGGGCTGAACGGCTGGCTGCGCATCGACGACCAGGCCGTGAAGGTCACCAGCCAGTACCAGGTGGTGAAGCCCTCGGCCGAGCGCACAGCCTACCTCCTGTACTACCGCCGGGTGGACCTGCTCTGAGCCCACCCCGCTTCCTAGAGCACCAACTCGCTCTCCTTCTCCTGTCCGTGCTCTTTGGAGTGGATTTTGTTTATTTTTCTTTCTCTTTTTCCTTTTCTTTTATTGTTTTCCCCCCCCCCCTTTGCAACTACGGGATAGCGATCAAGCCGACGACCTTGGGTTTGTGCACAACAGAGTTTGTGTTGAGTTGACTTTGCAGAGTGAAGTCACTTGGTGGAAAGACTCAGCCTCATGAATCACGAGAAAACACACACACACACACACACAAATTAATCCGAGTTAATGCTGAATCCTAAGATAACCAAAGGGGATTTGCAGTGAATCCCCACTTTAATTGCATAGTAGAAGATAAACCCTGCACCAGCAACAGAACTTGTAGATTTCTGTGAAAATGTTTTATCTTTACTTAAGTAAAAAAAAAAAAAAATCTAAAAAAAAAAAGAAAACAACATTAAAAAAAAAGTTATAAACAACAAACAACCCACGCTCTCTGCTTCCCTGATAGTTTTTGATAAGTGGTAAAAAAAAAAAACCCTACGAGCCGAGGTGTATGAGATGGAAACGGCCCCGTGTGCTTCAAAAACTGTACAAAAAATGCAGAGTTGCTGGTTCCTGATGGGAAGACACACTTTAATAATTGTGAGATGAGAAACTGCTTAAGTACACGTTGCAGATCAAATATTTGGAGTTAAGATGTTAGTCTCTATAGATGGGTGATTGTAACTTTATTGCTATTAAGAAATTTCAAACCGCATTTATGCTTCTGTGTACATGAAATTTAAAGAAATGGGCAAAATAATTAAGATTGATATTTCTTTAAGTCTGCTTTGTTTAATTATGCTGTCTGCTCTCCTATAATGTTGAGTTCCTAATTGTACACAGTTTAGTGATATCTAGAAGTATAAAGTTGTCGCCCATCAATAAAAGTCACAAAGTTGGTTTAAAGGGGTGTGTGTGTGGGTTTTGTTTTTCCTCCAGTGTAAATTCAACCCCTGGAAACAGAAGAGCTGCAAAGTGACACGTTCACAAGGTGTCAGTAGCATTCCCCAAATGGAGGGCAGATGATTTTGTCTTTTACAGCTTTTTGAAACATCAGAAATTGTTCCAATTCAGCACTGAGCTGGACCTGAACTTTGGGGGGAGAAGGGAGGGAAGAGGGTGGGGAGAGGATCAGTCAGCCCACAACAGCTGCAGGTCTAACAGAGGGCCCAGGGCAGAGGAAAAGGGAATTGAATCCCTTCTGCACCCTGCCAGAGCCCTGTAGAGGTGGTTTGGAGGTGGGTGGTGTTTTCCTTGATGAAAATACTCCCCTCTTTAGCCTGTTTTTTCAGTGAATACTGTGGTAAAATACTTCCTTGCTCAGCTTCCCTGCTGCTGATGAGGATGAAAAAAAAAATCTGTTGTTCATATATATATTGAAGTTCTTCAGCTGTCACCAGTAAAATGGGGCTCATTTGAACAGGGATTGTCAATAAAATGTTAACCTGGACATACTCTGACCAGCTATGGTTCACTTCCTTCCTGCAGAGCTGTAGAAATAAAATCAGCTGCATTAATTTTACAGGTATTGTGCTCCTATAAATCCCTCCAGCATGTCTCTGAGCTGCTCATTTCCTTTTACTTTGACTGGCCCACGTGCAGCTCTTGGGTGAAAAGCAGTGTTGGCTTTTTCAAGAGAAGGAAGCAGCCTGATCAATGCTTCCTTTAGCACTTGGGCTTCCCTGGGGTGTGCTCTGCTCCAGTCAAACAGCAATTAGTCACTTGGCAGCAAACGAGAAGGTCGTTGGTGGCTGCTTCCTGGGGGGCTGCTGGTGGAGGTGGCCAGTGGCAGCTGCGGTTTGCCCGGTTTCATTCTCAGGCAGTCATGGTGGGTGTGTGACTCCAGTAGCAGAAACAAAACTGAGCTGTGGGCTGAGCAGCAAGACCTGCTGAAGAAAGCTCTCCTGGTTTGCTCTCTGCACACAGTGGCAGTCTGGGACTTTCCTGCTGGAGAATCCCTCCCGGTGACGCTGTTTGTGTCAGGAGTGAGTGTGCTGCCCGTGGCTGGGGCGAGGCTCTTTGGGGTGCTCCTGTTCTTCCTGCCCAAAGCTGGGTGAGCTTCAGGTGGATGGTCTGCTGCTTCTTTGTCTTATTAGGCCGTGTTAACTTCACATCACTACCCAAATCCTGATGCTGAGGAAATTTGATGGCATGTCCTCCCCTGTTTTGGTTATCCAAACGTAGTATTATTTTTTTTCGTGAATCAGCAAATTTCATTAATACTTCCCAATACTTCTGAAAACGGTGGATGGTCTGCTGCTTCTTTGTCTTATTAGGCCGTGTTAACTTCACATCACTACCCAAATCCTGATGCTGAGGAAATTTGATGGCATGTCCTCCCCTGTTTTGGTTATCCAAACGTACCATTATTTTTTTTTCGTGAATCAGCAAATTTCATTAATATTTCCCAATCTGAAAACTGGGACTGAGATACACTATTCTAGATTTTAGTAACGTTCCACCAACTCTGAAACCATTTTCTGTCCAAACTTGTTTTGATTTTGGCCAGTGGCAGGGAAAACCTCAGCTGCTGGCTGGGCACGGTGCCCCGGAGCTGGGGCTAGGGGGGCAGCGTGCCAGGGCGCTGCCCAAGGGCTGGTGCTTCCAGGGCCACCCACGAGGGGAATTGCCCCAGGGCCAGGGCTGGGGAGATGGGGACTCTGCTTTGAATTTGAAATCTGGGGGGAGGTGGTGGGGTGGTGGTGTTCCAAAAAGGAAAGAAAGGTTTTGAAATTTTTGTTGTGGTTATTATTCACGTCCTGTTTCCGCATCCTGGCCAAAGTGGTTTTCTGTATTGCAGAAATCCTTTTTTTTCTTTCTCTTGTAGCTGTGTTTTTACCTGTATCTTTCCTGACAGAGTGGTGAGGCCTTGGCCCAGGCTGCCCAGGGAGGTGCTGGAGTCCCCAGCCCTGGAGGGGTTCAAAAAAAGTCTAGATGTGGCACTTGGAGGACATGGTTTAACGGTCGTGGGAGTGTTGGGTGATGGCTGGACTTGATGATCTCAGAGGTCTTTCCCAGCCTTAATGATTCTATAATTCCAGTGAACTGTGAAGAGGTGAGTTTCTGACAGTGTTGGCTTACCAGAATACTGTAAATAAAATTGCCAGTGACCAATAATGCATTACTTGACATCATATCCTTGCAATTAGCTTTGCTTTCGACTGTAGAAGATGCTTGGCTTGTAAGTTTTGGTCCCCATTACTCAAAAATTGGGGGTTTGAATTTGTGGGTAGGATATTTGGTATATTTAGTAGGAATCAACTGGATCCCATGTTGCTCTGCTCTTGCACCAACAGGACTCAGTGGTGAAGGTTTCCCTAGCAAATAGCTTTTGCTGTTTACAAGTCTCTGAATGGGCTGTGGATGGGTTTGTCATACAGGTGGAATAAAATATTTCCCCTTTTTATTTGGGGGATGGATGAAATGAAGTTCAGCTTCTTGCCATCTGAAGTCTTGTTTTCGCTGTGCTTTGGGAGGGAAACGTGGTGTCAGTCTGAGTCTAGATCCAAACAGTGTAATGAGGCTTCTTGGTTCTAGGTGACTCTTCAACTCGTTTCTCAGGTGTTTGCCCTGGAGCAGACCCCTCTTTGTGATGAGCAGCTTTGGGTGGAGCCCAGCCCAGCAGAAACAGCTTAAAAAGGGTAAAGTGAAGAAGAGAGGAAGAAAGGAAGAGTAGGATGAGAAAGAAAGAAGTGGTGAACAATTAATGGCACTTTAGGATTATTTCATGTAGCTGTACTTGTGTTTCTGCTGAGGTTTGCTTATAGCTGCTGCTTATGTTCTAAATGAATGTTACAGATTTTAAATTGCAGCTTAATCACCTAATATGGTTTTACCTAGTACAGGCTCAGTCCTAAGAACGTCCTATTTGGTAACCATTTTCTGCTCTGGGGAGGTTTTTAGTGTTGGATGATGCTGCTGTGTTCCTTTAACAGAGTCATAGATCTGTTCTGCTTGGAAAAGACCTTTAAGGTCATCAAGTCCAACAGTTCCCCCAGCACTGCCAGGTCCCCACTGCCCCGTGTCCCTCACACCACATCTCCACAGCTTGGAAACCCCTCCAGGGGTGGGGACTCCACCACTGCCCTGGGCAGCCTGGGCCAAGCCTTGACAACACTTTTGGAAAAGGAATTTTTCCCAGTGCCCAACCTGAACCTCCCCTGGTGCAGGTTGAGGCCCTTTCCTCTTGTCCTGTCCCTTGTTCCGTGGGAGCAGAGCCCGACCCCCACCTGGCTCCAGGCTCCTGTCAGGAGCTGTGCAGAGCCAGAAGGTCTCCCCTGAGCCTCCTTTGCTCCAGGCTCAGCACCCCCAGCTCCCTCAGCTGCTCCTCCCCACACTTGGGCTCTAGACCCTTCCCCAGCAGCTTCGTTGCCCTTCTCTGGCCACGCTCCAGCTCCTCAAGCTCCTTGGAGCAAGGGGCCCAAAACTGACCCCAGGATTTGAGGTGAATTTGGGAGCTCCATGGGATTTTCCTACATCTTGTGCGTTATCCCCTGGAGTAAAAGAATAGAAAACAAATTTATATCATAACTCAATCTCTGATGCACAACTTAGACCTTTCCTGTTCATGAAGACCTGTACAGACATCACAGAAGTTGTCAGGGCTGGAGAAGGAGAGAGGAGCTCCTGAAAAACGCAGCTCCTCACTCAGTCTGCACATTCAGTTCCAGGTTTCACTGGCTGTGAGCAGGTTACGGATGTTGTTAATTATTTTAAAGAAGTGGCAATGAGTAATTGCCAGTTTAAAAAACAAGTGTTGAAATCCTCTCTTAGCACGAAATGGAAGTTGCTCAGACGGTATTAATTCTTTTCATTCTTCACTGAGGATATTACAAATGCACTTGTTGCTGCTTTCTGTCTTCTGCAGGATTACTCAAAGGTTAAAAAAAAAAAAATGTGTAAAAAGTATGTGGCAACAATCTGATGTGAACACAAACCCCACAGTTTTTATTTTCTGGATT